GTAATAAAGATATAGCAGTGTGTGATGCTTGTCAGCAGGGGAAGAGTCATCAACTTCCTTTTTCGGAGTCCAGTCGTGAGGTGAAACATCCTTTAGAACTTGTGTTTTCAGATGTATGGGGTCCTGCTCAGACTTCTGTCAGTGGTCATAATTACTATATCAGTTTCGTTGATGCTTATAGTCGCTTTACCTGGCTTTACCTTATTAAACGCAAATCTGATGTGTTTGATATTTTTGTTCAGTTTCAAAAACATGTTGAACGTCTTCTCAAGCACAAAATTGTTCATGTCCGGTCGGATTGGGGGGGCGAGTATCGCAACCTCAACTCTTTCTTTCAGTCGCTTGGGATAGCTCATCGTTTAGCATGTCCACATACACATCAACAAAATGGTTCAGTCGAACGTAAGCATCGTCATATTGTTGAAGCTGGTCGTAATCTTTTGGCCCATGCATCTGTTCCGTTTCGGTTTTGGAGTGATGCTTTCACCACTGCATGCTTTCTCATCAACCGTACTCCTACTCGTGTTTTAAACATGAAGACTCCCATTGAGGTTCTCCTTAATGAACAACCTGATTATACCTTTCTCAAGGTATTTGGGTGTGCTTGCTGGTCGCATCTTCGTCCATATAACAAGCGCAAGCTTGAGTTTCGTTCTAAGAAGTGTGTTTTTCTTGGCTATAGCTCTCTTCATAAAGGTTACAAATGTCTTCATGTTCCCACTAATCGTGTCTATATATCTCGGAATGTCGTGTTTGATGAGCATGTCTTTCCCTTTGCCAACCTTCCTGTGTCTACTGTCGAACCACCATCCCTGCATTCATTCTCTGTTGCTTCTGACCAATTTGATGATGTTGCATACTCTCCTTTGCTGTTACCTAACCATGGTGCAGGAACCGGACGTGGAGCTCGTTTGGAGCTGTTGGAGGATTCACCATCATCATCGTCGTCTTCTGGTGGGCACGTCGATCGCCCTATGTTGCATGGCGTCGATTCGCGTGCTCATGCATGGTCACCCGACGAGCCCGTCGCGCCGAGCATCTCCACTGCTCGGTCCGCTACGCCAGCGATCGCCGAGTTTCCAGCGGCTCGGCCTTTTTCGCCAGCGGCCGCCGAGTCGCCCGCGGCTCGACCCGTCACGCCGTCTTCGCCTGCGGCTCGGCCCGTCACGCCGTCTTCGCCCGCGGCTCGGGTCCTCACGTCGCCTTCATCTGCGGATCGGCCCGCGACACCGGCCGCGCCACGGCCCACTATGCCGAGCTCGCCAACGGCCCGGTCTGTGATGCCGGAGTCGCCAGCTGCTTCGTCTGCTCTGCCGGTTTCGCCGGTGGGCTGGCCTTCTTCGTCGACCGAGTCCGAGGCTACCGTGACTGGCTCCTCGTCACCGGCTGACTCGTCAACGTCGCCGTCCTCCAGCCCGTTGCAGGTTGCTCCGTCGACCTCGGTGGTTCCTGTGTCCCGACCACATACACGCAGTCGCAGTGGCATTTTCAAACCTAAGGAACGTAAGGATGGTACGGTTGCTTGGTTGGCTGCTTGTTTGGCTGCTGCTGTTGCGGATCCATCTTCTGAGCCTCGCTCATATCAGGCTGCCCTGCGCATTCCACATTGGCGAGACGCTATGGAGCAGGAGTTTCATGCTCTTCTTCGTAACAAGACATGGACTCTCGTTCCTCCACCACCACGGGTAAATGTTATTGACTCAAAATGGGTATTCAAAGTGAAGAAGCATTCGGATGGATCTATTGAGCGTTACAAAGCGCGACTTGTTGCTCGCGGTTTTCGGCAGCGTCATGGTCTTGACTATGAGGACACCTTCAGTCCTGTCGTCAAGCCTACCACTATTCGGCTTCTTCTCTCCATTGCTGTTTCTCGTGGTTGGTCACTTCGTCAACTTGATGTGCAGAATGCTTTTCTACATGGATTTTTGGAGGAAGAGGTTTATATGAAACAGCCGCCTGGTTTCTCTGATCCTGATCGTCCTGACTATATCTGTCGTCTTTCCAAAGCACTATATGGTTTGAAGCAAGCTCCTCGTGCCTGGCATGCCCGCCTTGCCTCTGCCCTTCGTGCTCATGGGTTTGTGCCGTCCACTGCTGACACTTCATTATTTCTTCTACAGAAGCCAGAAGTCACTATATACCTTTTGGTATATGTCGATGATATTATCCTTGTCAGCTCTTCTCAGTATGCTGCTAATGCTCTTGTCTGCTCTCTTGGTGCTGATTTTGCGGTCAAAGATCTTGAGAAGCTTCACTACTTTCTTGGAGTTGAGGTCACTTCTCGTGCTACTGGTCTTGTCCTTACGCAGAAGAAGTACTCCTTGGAGTTGTTACAAAGAGCTGGCATGCTGAAGTGCAAACCGACCACCACACCCATGTCGTCTACCGACAAGATAACAGCTGTTGATGGTGAGCTTTTGTCTCCTGCGGATGCCACAGAGTACAGGAGCATTGTTGGTGGACTTCAGTACTTGACGATCACGAGACCAGATATCTCTTATGCTGTTAACAGGGTTTGTCAGTATCTTCAGGCTCCCAGAGATACTCATTGGGCTGCTGTTAAACGCATTCTTCGTTATGTTCAGTTCACCCTGACATTTGGTATGCATATTCGGCTGACTTCCTCTCGGGTCCTTTCGGCCTTCTCTGATGCAGATTGGGCTGGTAGCCCAGATGACAGGCGATCCACGGGGGGTTATGCAGTATTCTTTGGCTCTAATTTGATCGCCTGGAGTGCTCGGAAACAGGCTACTGTGTCACGTAGCAGTACTGAAGCTGAGTACAAGGCTGTGGCTAATGCTACTGCAGAGATTATTTGGGTGCAGTCTTTGCTTCAGGAGTTGGGTTTGTCTCAACCACAGCCTCCTATTCTTTGGTGTGATAACATCGGTGCTACATACCTTTCTGCAAATCCAGTATTTCATGCCCGAACGAAACACATTGAAGTTGACTATCACTTTGTACGGGAACGTGTATCGCAGAAGCAACTCCAGATCAAGTTTATCTCATCTAAGGATCAACTTGCAGACATCTTCACTAAGCCTTTACCGCTGCCACAGTTTGAGGCTTGTAGGCGCAATCTTACCCTTCTCAGTTCTTTAGAAAGTGGCTAAGATTGAGGGAGGGTGTTAGACTATGTATAGCTTCTGTACTTATGTACGTATTGTAACACAACCATTATATATAATGAGATAAGCCACCCCTAGAGGGTTGTGCTGGTTCCCCAAAACTTATTGTCTTACATTAGCCAACAAACCGCGGGCACAAGTGCGAGCGTAAAACACGAGGCCGGAGGTGTGCATGCACGCCGCTGGCCGCTCCATTGCAGGCGAGGACAAAACACTGCTAAAGACTCGAAGGCCCTGACCGAGCCGAGCTCACTGTCACGCACAAATACATCCCACAACGTGACACTGTATATAGTTATATAAAGTTTTTATTGAATTATTATGACGAGAATGTCATTGTCTCAATAAAACTAGCCACGACCCCGACTGACAATGAGAGTATGTTTGATAGGGTGTATGAAGGGTACATGAGCCCAATAGTTCTCTTCTCGATTCACTTTTGGGTGTTTGATAGAGTGTATAAAGGATGCATGCGTCCACACTAGATTAACACAAATACACTAAGAGTATGCATGAAGAGAGGTGTTGAGTTGTGCATGCATGAAGGAGAATGCAACCAAACACACCGAGATTCCCAACAGGTAGTAGTACTACATTTCTCTGTTCTAAAAAAAGAATTGTTTCTCTTTTCTGAAGATTTTTTCTACGCAAGCTCGTGAAATTAATAAAATGTATAAAAGAAATCGCCAACTTATATATGTATTGACCCTGACCAAGCTAGATGTGAACGAGTCATACATTACAAATGGGAAATCGGCAAGTGCATGAGTTTTGTTATCCGGTTTTGCTATTTGTCAATTTCGAGTCATTCCATTCCACGGGGACTAGCCGAGCCCTGGGCGCGGCGTCCGTCCCCCGTCATGGGCTCCCTGGGAGCGTCACGGAGGCGAGTCACTGGCTTCACGATTTCAGGTGCGGTGGGTGCAAAAAGATCATCGGCGACGAAGCCTGGTGAGGTATAGAGGGGTGGCCTGGGCAGTGAAGGCACATCGGAGGTGGTTGTTCGAGCAGGGTGGGACAGATTGGCGGCACGCAGTACCATCCGTTGGCTGCGGATGACATATGCAGGTGGTTTGGCCGGCGGTGCGGGGAAGGGGGCATGGGAGCAACGTTAGGAAGGAAGCTGCGTCTGCTCAAGGAGAAACATTCGATAAAAACCATTGGCTAAGATCAAATCGACTGAACGTTGGAAATACCCTGAAGGCAGTAATATTTGTATTATTTATTTATTTCTAAATTTTTGATAATGTTTACATTCTTTGCTATAAGTGTCATCCCATACCATTTGAGCGACAATCTACGAATGTTCCTCCCCAGAGAAAAACCTACAAACTACGCAGCAAAGATTCACAGTTGAAATGTCACGGCCAGAGAATTTCCATTAAGGACAATCCTTGGAGCATTCAAGCTTCTTCAAATTGATTGGACAAGGAGAAAATAGAAAATACTACTTTTCCAACCGGACCTCGCCCCTTTCCATTAATTTCTTAATGGTAATACAAAGTCTTTTTTCACTCATTTTGCTTTGTATGTAGTCACTTGTTGAAACCTTAAAAAGGACTTATATTATGGAACGGAGGGAGTAAATGAGTAGATAGAACATGGAATGAAAACCTGTCCATAATCGTCTGTGCAAACATTAGTCGCAAAAATATAAAAATAAACAAACAACCCAGTCCAAAAATGAAGCAAAATGTACACCATTACGTATTACATGCATGTACACCATATACACATATGTAGGGATACAATCGATACACGGAGATGAAGAATACTCTACTACTTGCATGCATGCATGCATGCACGCAAATGCAAGCGATATGATCGCCGTTTTTAATTACTCGATGATCATATAGCTTAATTGGTTCATATTTAGTCCATGGAGTAGCAGCACTGCTTGAAGGCGTCGAGGTTGTGCTGGAAGATGGGGACGAAGGCGTCCACGCTGCCGTCGCCTAGGTAGGACGGCACCAGGAACAGCATCCCCTCCGTGGGGAAGTAGGACGGCATGAAGTAGCTCGGGCTGCCGGCGCCGAAGTCCAGCTCGTAGAACGGGAACGTCAGCCAGCTATCCACCTCCAGGTCCGGGCACAACACGTCCTTCAGCTCCGCCGTCTTCTCCAACCCCTCCCGCTTCACGGCGCCCGAGCTCGCGAAATCCACCAGCGACTGGAAGTATGCGCCGTCGAGGCGGGCCACGGCGTCGTGAATCGTTTGTGCTGCGTGCTTCAGCGGCCGGCTCATGAGGTCCCCCACCGTGGACCGCGGGAACGCCCACAGAACCAGGTTGCCGAAGTAGCCCGGCGGGGCGGCCAGGCGCCGCCGCCCGTCGACAGAGATGCGGATGGTGGAGGTCTCGCCGGGGCTGAGCCCACGCGCGCGCGTCATCGTGCGCCACAGGTGTGCGAGCGTGGTCTCGAACCGGCTGAACGGCCTGCCGCGCCCCTCCGAAGCCTTGGCGCGCAGCCCGGCGATGAAGTCCTTGGTGAAGTGCGCCTTGTGGATGACCACGTTGTCGGCGCCGTGGTGTCCGCCCTCGCCCTGCTTGGGGTTGCTGGGCGACGGCCGGTAGTACTCGACGCCGCGGTGCTCGAAGTTGACGACCGGCGGGTCGCGCGGACGGAAGAGGTCAGGGTGGTTGTGCGGCGGTGGCGTCGGCGACGGGTCGGAGATGTCCAGCCCTCGCGCGGCGCGGCCCCACGCGACGAGGAAGTCGCTGGTGGCGTGGCCGTCAGCAACGGCATGGTTGGCCGAGAACCCGACGGCCAGCGAGCCGCAGGCGAAGCGCGTGAGCTGCACCTGCACCACCTCCTGCACGTCGCCCTCCAGGTCCGGGTGCAGCTGCAGCACGACGGGCGACGGCTTGGGCGGCGCGAACTCGACCAGTGTGGCCCCGTCCACACGCGCCTCGACGAGCCGCGCGCCGTGGTCGTTGAGCAGCACCCCCGGCGCGCCGTCCGGGCCAGGTCGGACCTGGCCGGCGAAGAGGCGGTACACGGACAGTACATGCGCGAGGCCGCGCTCGATGTCCTCCGTGGAGGGCGCCGGCGCCTGGAAGGCGTAGATGATGGCCATCTGGATGTGGTAGGTGACCCTGTCGAACACCGAGGACGGCACGTGCTCCGTGGTGTCCGGCCGTGCCGCGCCATCGGCGTACCTCGGCTTCACGATCTTGGAGCTGAGCACCTTCACCTCCATGGTCACCGTACGATGTTCCCCAAGTAAGGTTGGTGTACTGTTTTGTTGTTGATGCGATGTACCGTGAGTACGTGCACTTACGAGTGTTTGCTGGCGAGCGAGCAGAGGAAGAAGACGATGGATCGATGAAGCGAGCGGGCACACACTTTCCCTGGTGAAGACGCGGTGTATAAATAGGCAGCCCGTGAACGGGGACGGGGGTAGGTGGTCGTGTCTCCGTTGCCTCAGTCGACATGAACTCCTAGTCTGTTGGGTCGAGAAAGCCAGTGGTTCAGTTGATGAACGATGCATGTCATGGATTTGGTCAGACGATGGGGTCCTTTTGTGCGGCGGTAGCTTACTGTATATTTGCAGTTGGATCTTGCCGCGGTAACAATTAGTAAATCACAGTGTCGAGGTCCCGGAGTAAAACGTTGACACGCTCTTTAGCGAGCTTCCCCGCCGTGCATCTCATCGCACTTGTTATTGTAAATAAAATTATACGGCCGGGTACGTGCAGCTAGTGTACAGCTGCACACACATTGACGTCTTCCGCATAACCGGCCAATTCATCGGGAGTATATATGTATGTATGACGTGTATGAATACGTATGTTTACATTCAAAAGTAATTTATTAATACTACTAGCAAAAGAGCCCGCGCGTTGCAACAGGTCCACACGCATCACATCTATGTCGCCGCTTATCGTCCTTCTCACCCTCGTCGACGGTGGCCGAGGCATGCATGCTTGGTTATAGATGGTTTGTTGCGTATCTAAACCGTGTTTTTTTTTTCAATTCGGATCTATAGCGATACGAAATAAAGACAAATCGTGAGCTATTGATTAAGGTTGCTCTCTAAATAGCATTATAAAAATGTTTAATATGTAAAACAGCATGATACTCTGATTCTATATTCTTTTGTAATCAATTTTCGTATATAACATGTTAAGAATAAAGTTATGATTTAAAAGATATAAATAATTTTAAAAAGCATTTAAAGTCGCTTAAAATAGGACACATGTAGATTAACTAAAATATCGGAGGGTTTTCTATAAAATGTGAAATGTATTCTGGACTCACCTACAACAGGCCCATGGATTGATTAACCAAAAGATGAGGGGGAGTTTCTATAAAAAGTGAAGCATTCTTTTTTCACAGAAAATAGGACAATGGGTAAGATCACCGGGTTTTCTAAAAAAAGAACCATTGTTTCTCACACAAAATAGGACAGCGCGTAACCAAAAGATCACCGGGCTTTCTAAACAAAAAGTACAGCGGGTTGATTTTGAAAAACAACAAGGTTTTTCATAAGAATCGGACGGACAGGCATAAGTATTTTTTTATTTTATTAGTATGTATAGATAGACTAATATAACAGGGTGGAACAATACTAGTAGTGGTATTTTCTTTTTGTGTATGAAGGAACTTTTGATCTACTCCTATTTCTTTTACAGATATGATCTACTCATAGTCAATCATAACAGTACAGAGAACACCGGAGATCACAAAAATTAATACTCCCTCTGTCCGAAAATACTTGGCGGAGAAATGAAAAAAAATGAATGTATGTAGAATTAAAATACGTGTAGATACATCAATTTCTCCCACCACGTCAAGATATAATCAAGACAGCAATCTTTGTAGGTAGAGTATGACCTTAATTATAATCGATGTTACAACGAATTAGTTGGTGGCACAGCGACGGATATCATCCAACAAAACTATCCTAGTCGTGAAAAGTCTTGCCCTCTGTTGCATGTGTAGCAGCGATGCAACACTTGGGGTCGTTTTACATCGACCATTTGGGGTGGAACGAGGCAGGTTCCGGCGCCCCCGCGCGCGTGCGTGGGTCACCTGTGTCGCCGAGACCAGACGCCGATCCATCACCGGTACACGCAGGGGACGTGCTGCTGGGGCCGGGTGGATGGGGGATATCGACAGCCCGGCGGCCATGCGCCGCACGCCCGCGGTTTGACTACGGGGAGCCGGACCACCGCGAGAGCTCGTGGATACACCGGCGGCCATCCAGCTTTGTGGCGGCAACTCGACGGGACCACGGCGACCCCAACACGTACACGCTTCGGGCGAGACCGTGGGGCGCGGCCGGCGGCTGGCTTGGTTTGTGCCGTCCGCACTCCCCGACCCTTCTTCGGCCCCGAATCGGTAGCTCAACGTTACCCAACCAGCCGCGCGCAAGTGCGATCGGGTGCGTGCGCTCGGAATGTGAAGACACGAGGCGAGTGGCAAGACTTGACGGCCTGGAGCGAGCTCACCTTCTTCATACAAAAATCCATGTCGACTCCCACGACTTCTTCTAGACAAAAAACTAGTAACTCTTTGTATCAACTGCTGATATTTTCCCGACGTACGCAAGCGCGTGTAGCTACTACCAAAGATAGAAAGAAATCCATTAAGAAAAAGAAGGAAATCGCCAACTCATGTTATATAAGTATTGATTGACACCCGATCGACCAACTTCGCTCGCTCAATGTCACAATTGCAGCTTCACAGCATATCGCAGTTGCCACTTGCCAAGTGCACACATATCTTTTTTCTCTCCTTTTTTTGGGACAAGGTTCGCCACCTCACATCAGACCAGTTCTAGCCTTTTGGTAGCGCCAGCAGCAGTAACATGGCAGATGGAGTTTTCCTTGTGGCCGCACCGAACGCCAACGAGCTCTGCACATGCTAAAGTGCCCCCCAAAGCAAAGCTATGCTTTGACGAATCCGATACGATTTACCCTTAAAAGAAGCACCCAAAGGGTCCGACCAGACAAGCAGTAGCACCTAGTCACATGCATGCACATCAGCACATGCATATATAGAGACCAGTCTCGGTGTACTCCTACCTGTGGACAAGAGGCTAGCTCGCTCGCGGTTACGGCGCGCGACCTTGTCGTTGGCTCGTTGCCTCACTGTATCGTTCATTCCCTCTAAAAACAACTGCCCAACCCGACCGGTGCATCTCTCATGACCCACAAAATCCTGGTCATTTTGCTTCGGCATGTGCTGAATCAAGCGCGTGCTTCATTTTATGGGAACCACGGACGTGGAGTACACTTGCTACTCCTGTCCTGTGTACTCCTATTTCCATTTTAGTCTTTCCTGATAGAACAGGAAGTACCCAATTGATCCCTCGTGTTTCAAGTACATGTTGTTAAGCAGCTGTCCTTTGACGATTCAAGCATCGTGGCGGATGTGGAACATTATCTAGCGAGTTCTTCATTTTTATTTGGTCCTCTATCGTGGATAATGTGGGGTATTCTTTAGTGAGATCTTACATTGTATATCGTCGTATATGAAGAACGTGTAGTGTTTAGTTAGTGAGGCTTTACATTTTGATTTCCGTTCTGATCCCGTATCTGTTTATACAATCTGGAGCTGTGAGTTGACGAGGAATTAATTCGGGAAACGTGCTTAGCGTATTATCAACTCTTACATTTCCATTTTAGTTGTTCCCAGTAGAACAAATAACACTGAATAATTGCTTCTCCTCAGAAAAAGACATAACAAATCAAGGCTCCCGTTTCAAGATGTACTCCCTCCGTCCTAAATTCAGAAAGTAAGTTGAAAAGTTTGAAAAATTCCAAAAACAATCAGGCGTGAAGATATTGGAGTGAGTCGTGTGCCAGCAAAATTTTGTAGAAAAATCCACTGATTTACGGACGATGTGAAAAATCAAAACTGGCGAGGTACAATTGCATTAACTCACATGCAAATAAATTGTGACTGACAAAACATGAAATATCAAAATGAACTTGAGTTAGTTGCATATGATTTTTTTTAGAAAATCAGATGAATAAAAAGTAGTTTTTGAAAAGGAAACATATAATTATGAAAACACGTCATAATTTGACGCATATTCCGGCAGTTTCTTAAAGCTTGTGAGCTAGTATTGCAGGACCTCGGAAATTCGAACTAGCCCCTGCAACTTGTGAAGGTCGATAGTGATTCAGCTAACCCTAATTTATACAAAGCTTCCAAGGCCCTATTTTTAAAACATTGACTGAAAATGCAGGGATAGGAAAATATAGGAACTGAAATGTTATGTATCCTAGATTCCTTGGAAACTGAAATCACATGAAACTTCCAAGACTATTGTTTCACAGGAAAAACACTAATTGTGGACACCAGGAGGAGAAACATGAGGTCCCTCATGCATGTTTGGTTTCCTCCAAATTTTCTAGTGACTACCGAATTTCAAAGGAACATACGATAGATTTGTTTTTGTCCTAGGCAGTACCAAAGTAATAATCCCTATAAAAAATTCCATCCTTCAAAACTATTGCGTACATATTTTCATTTGTTTTTTTACTTTGTTGTACACGTGGCCTAATTATCGTGCCGGATCTCAAAGGTTCTAGCATCTGCTGCCACCCCAAGGGTTTGCTAAAGTTGGTGCCAACACGTTGGGTCCCCAGGTGCAAAGCCACCATGTGTCGTGTACTTGATCCTCTATCTGTGTCCGGAGATCCATAGATCGTGATTGTATATCACTTGCTTTATGGTTAAGTAAGTGGCTTATCCGAAACTAAAGCTAGCCACGTTAAAAGGTTACACTTAGCCGATCCAGAGCATATATTCGTAGAGTAGTATCTGATTCTTTGCATGCTAAGCTGTGCCACTGCCTGTGCTTGGGTCTAGAGAGAGAAAACAAACTTTAGAGGCGTGGCAGCTTTCACTCGTTCTGTGGCGGAAGCTGGAGCACGATGCATGCGCTCCGGCCGGGACCCGAGCACGTAGTATGACCTCGAGCGTTGGTCCGGCCGGCGCGCGCAGTGGCTGCTCCCGACCCATCGACCTCGATCCATCGGTTTCCGGCTGAACGTATACGTAGTAGTAGAGTCGGGTTTGTGCTGCTTCACCATTCACGACAGATCGACCTGTATTAGGCAACCGCCAACCAAGACTCGCCGATGATGATAACGATGGATCATCATCGTCAACGCTGATCTCGTCCCGGTTATGGACCATCGTCGAGTTCCATAGCTAGCTCTCGTTGTCTACGGCGGCTACAAG